GCACCCGTGCAGTGTCGGAGCGATAAAAAATCGATGTGAGCAGTGGATTGATTAGCTGATAGCTGCAGGCTGCGTGCAACAGACAGCGATAAGTTTTTGCTGTAAACAGACACAAATACAACTGCTTTATTACTAAATTGTCCTAAATATAAGAATAAGGTAACGAATATCAGTACAGTGATATGTCGGTTGAGCGCTCGCTGCTACTACCACTGTTTTTATCAGAAACTTATCCAATCGTGTTTGACAAAGTTGTTCCGGAATTGTTCTGATTGGATACGCTCGACGCGCTAGCAACACTGGCTGGAGGATTTCCGTAACGGGGTGGTCCTTGATATGCCCAGTGACTCTGCCGGACAATAAATTCCGGATTATGAGTGAGCGGATTACGAACAATGAAGACTCCTACGCGAGGATGTGGTTGACGGTTTGGATTACGAAATACGGATGTTTGCTCGTATGGAGGGAGCGAATTATAAAATTCTGGTCTGTGACTGTAGGGAGGAGGTTGTTCAAACAGATTATAAGGTACGTATGAAAATCCGTAAGGAGGAGGAGGAGGTCGGGTGCGTGATGCGGCTGGGAAACCAGCCGGTGGAGTTCTGTAGCGAAGCGGGCGAATTTGTGGAGAAGTTATGCGGGGAAAAACGGCCTTTGCTGGTGGAAACATGGGGCGATACTTAAAGACGGGGCAACGGTAACAATTGAAGGATGGGATTGGTGCGCGAGAACGAGCTGTAATTGGGATAATACTTTTCGACTGAGGTGTATTAGCAGTAGAAGTGGAGGCATTCGAAGAGTGCAGTGAAGGAGACGAATTTTCCCGAAGTCGGTCCTGCAAATCATTTGTTTCATTGTGATTCATCAAGCAAAATTCGATCAAATGCGTCAAGCACTTTCGCAGAGAGGAGCTTGGAAAACATAATAAAAATGATCGAAATACTAGTGCATTTTTGAGGATCAACGGAAACGTGCGTTTTTTGCACGGTTTTGCCCAAAAAATATTACCACATACAAACAAGCAATCTCTTGCCACAATACGTTTATACGTTTGCATAAATACGAAAAAACGCATAAAAATGTGTACAA